GGCAAACCTGCTGCATTCCAGCCTGGGTTTTCTTTGTCTAAGTGCGACGTTTTGACATTTTTTAACATTTTTTCGTCAAATTAGTCAGCCAGCTCTAACGGTTTCTGTTAACCACTTTTCAGCGCGTCATTAAAAACCCTACAGATTTTACTGACACGGCCGAGAGAAGCTTTGCCATGTGACAGCCTACTTTTCCAGAGGTAAACAGTAAATTTTAAAATAAGCGAACCTGCATGTTGTAGAATCACAGTACAGCAAAGTTCCATAATTAACAAATTTGAATTCCAGTAGCCCGCTCCGGATTGGTGCTGGCAGAGGTATACGAAGTAAATCTTCACTACTCACAGACGGCGACAGGCTCCGCACAACAATGCTACTATCCAAAGCAATTGCAAGTAAACCATCAAATACGAGAATACCATATACGGTGTTGCTATCGGCAAACCTTACAACTGTAGCCTTCTCTGAGTGTTCATCAGTCGGTGCGATAACATTGTTGATTGTGAGTGCACTGTTGACTCCGTCATCAACATACAGCGCGTATGTAGTACAGGGGACAAAATAAATTAGAGGAAAATATGGCAAGATCACTAAACGCAGTATCCAGAAATTATGCATGCATGTATGAATCTTCGATTCAGACCACTTTTCTTTTATCTTTTTCCCCAGTTGGTTCGCTTTTTTATATGCATCGTATGAATCCGTTTCTAAAATTTGCTTTATAGAGTAAATGCACAAATGAAAAGTATAACAGCATACACGCCAATAAACTGACAGCTGTGATTCACGTCAGTACATTCCATACTAGAAATGCCTATGCTTCATATACATACATACATAACGGCCAAATAAATAAACAAATATATATATATATGTTATATGTATATATATACTCATGTTGATATTTGGCCTGTTGGGCAAACATCACATATTTTTCTACTCTAGTCCGTAAACCGATCAAGAGGAGGAAGCAAGGTGATCCTATATCGGTCACGCCTTTTTTTGGCCTGCCTCTAGATTTTATTTTGGAAACCGGATTGGGAAATGGTCTAGAGACCGACATCAAGAAACTAATTCCTCAAACGCTCCAAGGATGACAGTTTTTGTCGCCTTCGCGGCATAAAAAAGACGTCAAAAATGGTTAGCATCATTTTTCTTAAGGAGAGTTGAGTTTTAAATATTTCCTTCATTGGGATTCCGAGTGTATTTATTCAATGGCCAGAAGTCTGGCTCGGAACGAAGAACCTAGTTCTTATCTCAACAAAAGGCAAAAAACGAGGGCCCTGCAGCTAAGCTACCATAATTCATGAAGACCCGTACGATTTTTGGCTTGTCCTCGCATACTGCAAAAATATGCGCTGTAAATGCTCCCTGCATACAGCCGCATCCTAGTGAAACCAGTGACACAGGATTTCCACACTGACTTTCGACTGATCTTAGCAGTCTTGACACATTAGTATGCAACAAAGCGGGCTTCAAACTGAAGCAAAAATAGACAAAATATGCTTTATGTTCTACTGCCTCCACAGCCAATCAGCGTTTTGAAGTGCAGAAAGCAAGCGGGAAAAAAACAGTGAAAACAGATATGACAAGGCATGGGTGGGCAACGGCGGCCGGATCCGGTCCGAGGAGGGAATCGGAATGTGGTGCTTAATTAGAAGAACGAGGGTTTGTATTCCGCCACGCCACCGCACTCTCATGAAAACCTAGGCTGGAACGCATCAGGCGGGCCGGTGCGATTATGCGTTTTTGCACTTTTCGTGCCGTA